GAAAACAACAAATCACTGAAAACTCACATGTAATTTTTGCTGAACAAACCACAGAATAGCAATTATAAAGACTAGAACTGAAATGAAAATAAGAAATCCAAAAATTTAAATATAAACACTCACTTGTGACTAGTTACCAAGTATGGGTATTTTTTATTCCATTTCTGTACTAGCAAAATAAGTATATAAATATCCAGAGGAAAATATTTTTCTGATCTTATTTAATTTAAAATATTCTCTTATAGATACTAAAAATTACAATGTCAACTATTAACAGCTAAGGAACTCAAGAGGAAATTTCACATTAGAATTTATGTGGTCAAAAGGAAAGAAAAAATGATATAGTAAGACAAGCTGAAAATGCTATATGAGTTTTAGCTTTTCAAAATCCTATACGACTGTGTCCTGGTGCAAACTCCTATAATCCATAATTATTTTTCGATATTTGTGACTTTAGCAGTCTGTGGTATTCTACTAATCTAAATTCATATAACAATATTTTTCTTTGACATTCAATGTTCTAAGTGCAGATTTAAAGGTGAGTTTTTGTGTATATACTTAAGTATTCCTATTTTTGTTTTAGGTAAGACAAAAGTATCTAAAATCCAATACAACTAAATCTAAGAGCCAGATTAAAGTTGTAGGAAAGGAAAATGGCTGGTGTTGCTAAGTTACCTAGATTCATATGACAAATACTAATAAAAGGGAAAACATAGTAGAGTACTAAAATGCCAAACATAGTAACAGCAAAGTAGCAGTCTTTGACAGAATTATTAAATAATAACTAGGGCGTTATTTTGAGAAATGGTCCAGTTGTGAATAGCCATTTTTAAATGGCCATAGTCACTATTCACATTTCAGCCAATTCACAGATTTACACCAAAACAATAGACCCAAGATTAATCTCACTTGTGACCAGTTACCAAGTATACTCCCGAGATGCACATATAAGAAGAGGTGACTCACTTGTTTTTTATCAAAGAGATGACAGTTTACAGTATCTTAGGGACCTAATATTGCTAGAGTATATTCATTTGACTATCTCTCACATAATAGCTCAAAATTTGAGATAATTACCTTGTTCTTGGTAACATGGTACCACACTCACCATTAAAACTGAGAAACTGTCGGTTCCAACTTAAAGCATTCATCAATCATAAAAAATAATAGGCAACAGTTCATCAGAGACAAATCACTTGGGGCATCAAATATACCCCAAGTCCTTTCCTGCATCTGGCTACATACCCAAGGTGATATAGACATCCAAAGAATGGCAGAGGAGATGTGTGGACCAGCCACACCAGAGCTAAATAGAACTCCTGACTCCCTGACACACCCATTCACTATTTCCTCATCTCCACTAAGCTCAGATCGGTGGATCTTACCAAAGTTTTGTTGGGACTTCAGTGATGCTTTTCACCATCCACAGATCCTCTAGATGTTCTCTTTAATTTATTATAACTATAACAAAATTTGGAGAAGAGGGATTAAATGGTGCTGTTTGCCCTAGGGACACCTGTTTCTCAACAGGTAAGGTATTGCTCTCTTCACTAAACTAATAAGGCAGGAGCTTTGGAAGACACATTAATGTGTTAGACCAAGGCAGAATTCCCACCACAGTGCATGTTAAATGGTCCCCTTGAGAACTGAAAAAGGTAAACATGGGAGGGGAGAAAGAGGAGATCTGAGCACAATAAATGTTAATTGAATAAATATTCATCATATTTAAAGTACTCTCGGGAGAATAGCCAGCTTTATCCGTGAGTATGTAACGAAGTGGCAGCAATGCAAAACCAGTTTTCTTACTGCACAAAAAGATGAAAATTTTTTTATCTTTTTCCCTAAACACTTTATCTTCTCTTAAAATTTTAAGAGAAATTTTCTTTCTAATTTTGAGGAATTTAACCAATTTATTTTAAAATATTAAAATATTTACACTTAAATCAAGTTAAGTATACCCAAATGTGCATTTTAATAACTATCCTTCTCAAAAAACTTTACTGACAGTACTTTCTTCTTACACCTAAATTATTCTGACCACAGACACTAAATTGTATTTCTCTAAAGCAGATAAAGAGCAGACAAGCACTCCCATTTTTAGACATGGGAAATTTCAGTAAAGGAAAAGCTCAGTGAAATACATCAAGTAATAGAGTTACAGAAGCTACACTCTTCACTTTGTAATGATTAATCCACACATACTACAGAACACTTCGATTTCAAAGTCGGCCCAAAATAGATCCACTGTAGCCAATCTACACAGCTGTGGGAGATTCAGATCTACTGAGTCAGAAAGATAAGACTGGCAATGTTGGAGATATTGACTAAAACTATTTCAAACATAAAAGAGCACTTAATAATTCTACTGCCATTGCTTTATAAGTCTTTAACTTTGATGAACTAGAACCTACTCTTCCAGGTAAATTTTTTGACTTTTAAATGCTTTTTTTTTTGCGGGGGGGCGGTGCAGGGAGGAAGAGGGGTTATTTAAATCAAGGAATATTTCAGTGAGACAGAACACGTTATATTGCAATACCAAGACTACTGCAAATTCCTGACCTTGAAGGTCTGAGACATCAACTCAACTTAATCCAATATTTGAAAACGAAGACATTTCCTTCTCTTATAGGCAAAGATCAAGGGGAGAGAAAGAAAAGTAAAAAGAGTCATTTACAATGTGCATCTATGACATCAGAAGTCAAAATAGTGGTTACATTTTCATGATGAGGGTAAGAAATATTGACTGGGAAGGGCAACAAGAGAACTTCCAGAGGAAATGGAAATATCCTGTACTTCAATCAAGGTAGTAGTTCTACGGGTGTAAACATGGGCAAAAACTCACTGAGCTGTATGTCTAGACTTATGCATTTTACTGCGTGTAAACCATAATTTAATTTAAAAAGTAAAAGCATCCAATGCAAGTAAGGCACTGCAACTAAAATCAAGGATAAGAATCATCAGAATAAGTTAGAAAAAAATTAACCCTTTCTAGGACCTGCTACAGCATCATATACATGATAGATAAATAAGTATTACTTATGACAATTTAGTAAGAACACCTTAGGTGGTTTGGAGATCCCTTCTGAACTAATTAAAATTTTAAATATGACTATTTTTCTGAATATTCTAAATATAGATAGTTTCAAGACTATAAAATAGCTTTCAAAAGGTTGAAATCAAAGACCTAGAAAGCTTTGCCTCAAAACACAAAGAAAATACATGTGTCTTCACACTGAACACAGATTTAGGGCATCTTCTTATCTAAACAAGGCAGTCCATTTTCAAGACTTAATATCCACTGACAATACCAATCTACCCATGGTCTTCTAGTGACAAGCAAGAAATAAAACCTAACATTCAGTAAAAACAAAAAATGCTAAACACCTGCATAATAAGTATTCTGTCTGCTGCCTGGTATTCTGTTCTGTTCAGTTATTTGGTAGCTATGGAGACCAAAAGCAACCAGTAGTTTTTAAACATACCATATAACATATAGGTGACATTATTAAAATATCAGATTTGATCAAAGGCTATGTGTCTGCTTTGTAAAACTGGCTGGACAATGTAAGAGTCCCTAGTCCAAGACCCAAAAACTCCCACACTGAGTTTCAACTTCCATTTTTGGTTAAACCAAGTAACAGGACTAATTTTCCTTTAGTATATAAATGTTTCTGTGCATATGTAGGCTCCTACATAAATAAAATTCCATGACTGAAACAAAACTGGAAGGTCTTTGACACTTAATGATCTATTTCCATTTCTTGGTTGACAATTCTAAATGCACTATTAAGTGCATTCAAAAATTATTTTTAAATTATTAGGAAATAATATTGTCACATGCTGAATGGGATTTTACATGTCACTGTTACTTTATCGTTACTTTCATTAGACACTGTGGTAGTTTCAGAGATAGGAAGCTTCCACAGTGAAACAACAAAAATAATTAACCCTTTAAAAAAGTCAATCAAGAAACAAAAGAACTAAGGATTATTAGGTCTCTTCAAATGCTGTTATTCTGTAATAATCATCAGCTATGCACAAATAGCCACATGATCATCTGAGATCAGAAAAAAAGGTCAAATTACAAATTCATAAGAAATAGCTTTCCTAAATTCCTGCCCTAACTCCTTTCTTCCCAGCAAAGACAGTACCTTGCCAATGTTTAATGCTGTAGGCCAGCAGGTTAAGCCTCTTTAGAAATTCCTAACTGTCATCTTTGCTTGTAGATATGACAAAATATTCTGCAGAGCCTGTACAATGGCACTGACAAGTTATAATATTCTATAATAAGCATTAAATAATGCTCAAATAGGTTAGTTATAAATTTTTAAATACCAATTTTAGCTGTCTACAACTGCTGTCCTGCCTAGCCCATTGTGCAGGGTCTGCTCTGCACCAAAGCAATTTCATTGTATAAGTTTTAAGAAAAATATGATGCTTCTGGACTATGATGCTGGCCAGCACATCAAAATTGAAGCCATTGTGAAAAAAAATCCAGCTTCAAAAATAAAGCTTATTCTTTTTAAATCTACATATAACATCTACCCAGGTTTTTGTAAAAATATGGAGGAAGAGAGTATAATGATACCTTTTTCTCTCTTTAGATGAAAAATGCAAGCCCTTTTTTCCTTTCTAATAAACTCTATCATCTCAGATCCTCCCAGTATCTATTTTAGGATTTGAACACCATAACGGAGCCCACAACAATGGATCACTGACAGGACTGATCCTATCAATTAACACATTCTAGGGGAGCTGCCTGGATCCTGTCTTTATACCTCCCTCTTGGAGGCCTGGTTTTGACACATTGACATCCCTGGCCTTAAGGATGAATAACCCAGTTAAGGGGAGTCCCTTCCCTGAGACCAATCCTTTGTAATTATAGACAAAATACAAATGTTGTGAATGACCTAAGGCAAAGTAATATGAACTCCAAGCCAACGAAACCATGACAGCAAGCAGATTTCTAAACAGCAGAGAAGTGGGATCCATTTACTTACATGAAGATTCAGTGCCAAACATGGCTGGCTCCAGAGGCTGCTTTTAAAAAATTAGGAGAAAGAAAAGGAGGGGGGGAGGAAGAAAAAGCGAGGAGAGTGTACGTGTGAGAGTGAAGAGATGAGCCGGCTACACAGCAGGGGTCATGAAGCCAGACAATGCAGTCCAAGCTGTGTCCAGCTGCCAGATTCTCCTCTCACGAGCTTCAGTTTTCTCCCGTGTGATTGCAAAGCAAGGTCTCTTACAGCACCAAAAACCGAAAAGCAGCTTTGGAAAATCCACCAGGCAAAGGAAGGCCGACGTAGCTCTTTGAGATGCAGTGAGGCAGGACTGGGTAGCAGCAGGGGCAGGACTGGGAGCAGCAGCAACAGCGGATACTGCAATCTCCAACCCTGCTGTAGCAGTAAGACAATAGCAGGGTTTATGCATACGCTGGATGACGTCAGGGACACTGCACAGACCGATTGCGCTGCTTGAGCCACAGGCTCTAGGGGCTCCAGGAGAGCAATGCGATTCAGAGGGGAAATTCCTTTGTCACAAAATGCACAAGACCAAGGGCCACCTATATATGCCTCCTCCTGAGAAGCTCTTCAACCTGCGACACCAGGCAGTAAAAGAAATCTCAAATTATTAGCTTTATAGCAAGTAACCACAAAGACATCATACAAATCAGGGTTTTAGGTTTTATGCAGCAAATGAAACTTTTTGAGGGAATTAAGACTATCAGAAATGAGACAAATAATCTATCTTTAAAAGTAATTACATAGGGGTTCATTGTTATTTTCTCTAAGCTTATATGTAGATTGACAGATCAAGGGTGGTACACACTATCACAAATATGTGAAAATATGTATATTATTGCACATACATCTCAGCATGTACATACAAATGTAACAGAAAAATAATAGTATAAGTGCTTAGAACACCTCAACACCTCTTGCCTCACAATGAACACTCATTTAGTGACTATATTATTTTGCAACTATTCAGAAGTGAAAACTACTGCTCTAGGAATATATTTACATACATACAGTTCTCCTAATTCTGTATTTTGCCCTATGTGAATTTCTGTAATTTTCCAGAGTAACTCAGTCATTTTAAGGCTTTGTGCACACACCTGTGTATACCTATGTATGAGTGGGCGTCTGTGACCAACACATTTATTTTTAATCTACCCACATGAAGGAATAGTTGAAGATATTAATTAATATTTTATTCTTTTTTTTTTTTTTTTTTTTTTTGAGGCAGGTTCTCACTCTGTTGCCCAGGCTGGAGTGCAGTGGTGTGATCCTGGGACACTGCAGCCTTGACCTCCTAGACTGGAGCAATCTTCCAACCTCAGCCTCCCAAGTAACTGGGACTGCAGGCGTGCACCACCATGCCTGGTTAATTTCCTATATTTTTGTAGAGACAAAGTGCACTATGTTGCCCAGGCTGGTCTCAAACTCCCAGGTTTAAGCAATCCTCCTGCCTCAGCCTCCCAAAATGCTGGGATTACAGATGTGAGTCACTGCGCCCAGTCTTGTCTCTTGACTCCCTGAACAAGTAAATTTCCCTGCATTACTTTATTCATAGAAATACTAGAAGTATATGAATTTTCATATACACAAAAAAGTTTTAATGTTTTAGAAATAATGAAATGCACAAAAATCAAATACATACAAATGTAATCCCACAATCCCACACTTTTAAAACCATATATAGTAGGATGTTCAAGAATTCAAGTCTCCTCTTCACCGATTCATCCAAGGTATAGACCTTTTACAGTAATTTCTTATGTTTACAAAGACAGGTCTTTATACAGATAGAGTTTTTAAACATTAAGTTCTGATATAATGTAGAATTTCATATTACTTTACCATCTAAAAATATCATTAGTAACTTTTCTGGTCAATATATATAGTATCTACCTCATCCTTTTAATGACTGAAAAAGATTCCATTACATGATTGTACCATAATTTATTCAAGGTAACTTGACCTTTAGCTTACTGAAAAGGCTGAAACATTAAGAAGAAAGTGTGATGATGCTACATAAGATAAAGAAAAAATTGTTTGCTGTGGGAAAGAATAACAATAGCTACTATTTACTGAGTATGTACTATATGCCAGGCACTATTCTGGTAACTGTACACATATTAACTCATCTACTCTTCATAACAACTTTACAAAGTAGATCCCACTATTATCTACATTTGACAGATGGTTACATGATTTGCCAAGGTCACACAGGTAGTAAATGATTGGGATTTAAACTCAGGCAGCCTGATTCCAAAGCAAAGCTCTTAATCAATCTACCATAATACCTCTTGAACAATGAGAAAAACAAGCGGGACAGTAAAATGAGAAAACGGTCCCTGGGTAAGAATTTCAGACAGAGGCCATGGTCTATATGCAATAACAGCTTTGCGGACTCATTAATATTGTTCATTTTTTCAGTTGATACATGAAGGTGTATAATATGTATGTGTATATATATGTGTATATGAAAATGCATTTTCTGAGGGCCTATACATATTTCTAAGAGTAAGTAAAAGGTTGCAACATTTTTCAAGAAGTCTACTTTGTAGACAGCTGTAACAGGATCAGAGGGTTTAGATCTACATTGCTGAAGACCCATCTTTAACAAAAATAATTTCAAAAGTTTAGTTTAGTCCAACTCTTTCCTCTATTCTGCTCAGAAAATGAACTCACGTTTTTATGTGTTGTCTAAGGAGAATGTCATGAAGAAAAATGAAGAAAGAATAAAACTGATCTCATGTCCCTCACTGTCCCCCTCCAAAGGATCACACAATACATTCCAACACCAAAGTGACCTTTGGAGTATCCATTCTATCTGATTATCCCTGCCAGCAACCTTGCCCTTCTATTAGTAGAGATATTACTGTTAATTTCAAAATAAAGTTAGCAATGAAAGGAAAGATTAACATTCAAAATAATTAAGTTGTCAAAATAAGAATCATTAAATTAATACTATTGACAAGTGAAGATTATAGTGAAAATCTTAAAGTCAATAGTCACTTTTAAAAGAAATCCTACTCATGCATTCACTGAACAGCTATTTCCTGGGAATTTATGCTCTACACTCTAGGGGGAGAGCCATGAAAAAACTCTCTCCCCTATGTAGCTTATATACTAGTGGGTGAGACAGACAAACAAATAAATAATATGTCAAGTGATGGTGGTATGTATGACGAAGAAAGATAAAGAGGAATTCGAGGGTAAGGAGTAATTGAAAGGGAAGGTTATTTTAGGTAAAACTGTCAGGAAAGGCTACTCTAAAATGATGACATTTCAATAGAGACCTGAAAAAAACCTCATGGTTAGTATGAAAACCACATGAAAGGAAGAGTATTCTATGCAAAGTCCCTGAATAGGAATGTTTGGGGCTCCTTAGAAAGTTTTTGTACAATAAATCTATTCATGAGTCATCAAATATCAGTTTTCTATTCAAAGATATCTCATTTAGTGCTATATTGATGCCATTAATACAAAAGTGGTTATACTGAATTGTGCTGAAAGCAAAATAAATTATCTTTTCTAATTTAAAAAAAATTCATTCTCTGCCATGGACCAAAAACATATAAAGTTATTCTCTTCAAAGTTTGACTAAATATACCTACATTTGAATAAATGTGTAAAAGTTTATAAAAATCACTACCGAAGACAGCACTTAAAACAGTTTCCCACCACACTACATCAGACAACTAATTAATGTATTTATTAATGTGGTGAGAACTTAAGCCACATTTTCTCTCTACAGTACACACAACTAAATTTGAAAGTATCATATCTGCAAATTTCTCTAAAGCCACCTCCTTGTTCACATTAAAGTTTTTACTTCTCAGTATTCTCTTGATGCCTACTTAGCATGCTAAAGTGAAAGTCTTAAGATATCAACTATATATATGTAAAGAATTACTTAAAAACAATAGAGAAATGCTTTAATGGCAATATACAAACTACAGAAAAATGAAAGAATTAATAATTCTTCTCTTTTGAGAGAAAAAAGGTACAAATTTATAATTAAAAGCACACTCATAGTAAAGCTCTCTGGTAGGATTTTACAAATTTAATTTCTTTGTATATGGCTATAAAGTATGTTCCTTCCTGCTTCAACATAGTACCACATACAAAATGAACTTTCTAAAAGGTAGGTGCATCTTATTTCAGAGCCCTGTAACACAAATTCTGGTATCCTAATTTCGAGGAAAATAAAATCAAACTGTGCATACACATAGAGAGATATAGGTATACTTGTTGAAAAAAACTCTAAAATAGAAATTGAGAACAAATAGAACAAATCTTTTGGGGGCAATTAACTACTTTTTATCTTCAAAGGGCATTTGCCACAGAGAGGAATTCAAGGGTAAATAGCAAGCTCCTAAAGAGTTACATTTTAAATGACCAATTTCACAAAAATTCTAAGTGCATACCATAATTAGCCAAAGGCCCCACCTACAAGTCTAAACGGATAATTTACGGATACTATATAAGTGGATCTCAATCTGAATGCACACTGGAATTTTCTTTCTTTCTTTTTTTTTTTTTTGAGTTGGAGTCTCACTCTATTGCCAGGCTGGAGTGCAGTGGCACACTGACGGCCACCCCAGCATTGACTTGCTGGACTCAGGGGATCCTTCCGCCCAAGCCTTCCCAAGTAGCCAGAACTACAGGCACGTGCTACCACACCCGGATAATTTTTTTTTTTTTTAATTGTAGAGACAAGATCTGACCAAGTAGCCCAGGCTGGTCTCGAAACCCTGGGCTCAGGCAATCCTCCCACCTCGGCCTCCTAAAGTGCTAGGATTACAGGCTTGAGTCACTGCGCCTGGCCTGCACTGGAATTTTCATTACACTGGATATGGAAAGAGTGCCTCTGCCCTAGAAGAAAAAGCCTTTGTTCTTTAGCTTAAAAGCAATCTGTCAGCAGTGTCACCATTACCCAAAAGTTCAAATTTAGAGTAATATAATTAAGAATTGGTTGCACAAATTGTGGTAGACTCACGTCCTTTATTCACCTCTGATTTCCTTCCCACCTACATCTACACCCCACCAGATCTAAGGGAATCCCCCACTAATTCATCAAGCGACCACTACCCCTGGTTAATTAGGCTTAACTTTATTCTTGATTCTGTACCAACTCACCATTCAGTGAAACTAGAAATTAACAACATGACTATGCAATTTAAAATAGGAAGAGGGTAGTAATCTATCAGAAAAATATGAAAACATTTATACTCAGAAAATTTTGAATAAAAACTAAAATTCTCTAATTCACTTCATTATGTTAAAGCTAAAATTCTCTAAATCACTTCATTATGTTAACACCATCTAAAAGATAGGACCACACACAAGCACAAAACCACCACCACAACACCAGAAGTATTTAACAGAAACCAGGAACTCTCTGTAAACTGTTTGTATATTTTATTCCCTATGTAGCATAATCTGAACTCAGTTGTTTGTACTTAAAACCTTTTGGCCCAGAGGGGAGAAATGTGGATTAATTTATGGGTTGCAGTTTATCTTAAATTTGTTTGAGTATGACCCAACAGAAATAGAAGAAATAACCAAGGTATGTCTGAAAAATTCCCCTAAGTGTTTATCCCA